GGATTCGAACCCGCGACCCTTAGATTGCGAGTCGAGCGCCCTAACCACAAGGCCATGCCGGGCCTAGACTAAATAATAAGTATATCACTGTGATGCTAAAACTCTATTTGTGTAAATATTTCCAAAATATACACACCATGTGTCCAACTTTAATAGCTCTATAACTTGGCTAAGTTTCTTGTTTGGGTGTAGCAAATCATCCTTTCTGAGGAGACTCATAAATTTTGACTACACTGTATACCTGTAAATGTTGATGTTACATCTTTGTTTACCATAGTTCAGTTAAAGAATCTTGTAATATTGCTTTAGAAGCTTTATAGAATGATAACAAAACCCCTAGAAGTTATATTCCCTGTGAAACTATAACTGATTTATATTTTAATGACAAGAATAGAAAAAAAAAGTCCTAGTGACCTCTTTATATTTTTATTTTTTGGCTGGGTTACGATGATGAAACGTTTTAAGAATTAAAATTCAGTACAGCCTTTCCGATATTATCTAAATTCTATTATTAAATTTACTAAGAAAGTCTAAAAAATGACTCCATTTTTTGCCTAAAGTTTATGTTCATTTCGTAACTGAAGTTTTAAATACTTACGGTAAGATTGTGGCGATCGGTTATCACGCGTTGTCATGATTAATAGCCCATACGATCAACCCGAATCTCGTTATTAATTATTTTTATTACTAGATACCGGTACACACTATCTTGTTTATATCCTTCACGTCGGCTATTTTTAGGGAAGTCTGAAAAGGACTATTTCTGTGGTGGTAGTAGCTGAGATTCGAATCTGTGTATTTTTAATAACGAGGCTGATGTGCTATTTACTTGTCTGAGGTACGTCTTCCCTATGAGAAGGTTTTCGTGAGGAACATCCAAGTTTTCTACATTCTGTACCAGGTTGTCTAAGTGTTTGATCAGTTAGGTGGATGTAGAAGCCTTCTATTACATTTCTCATGTGTAATTAATATCTCATTATTTTTGTAGTATTCCAATTATTGTATGGTCTTCTTCTCTGGCATGATGGATTATTGCGGACACGTTAGAATTGCAGAGTGGTGTGTATCCTAAGTTCTAACTTTTGTCTTTTTTTTCCCCCAGTGTATTGGAGTTCACATTCCCAAATGATGTCGAAAATCATGTTTTCGCTATTCCTTATGTATTTCGATAGTTTTGTGTGTACTAACAGCGCTCGTATTGTGTTGTGGCTTCTGAATACTGTTCTGAACTTATGCTGTTTACCTATCCTCTATTTCTTTTTAAAGAAACATTTGACATAGGGGAATATCACTGCTTGTATCTAATTTTTAATTTGATTATTCTTGATGTTTATCTTCTTTATCAAGTTTCCCGGCTATCCACTTTCAGTGAGGGTTGTAGTGTTTTTTTCTTTTCTTTAGTCTTGGCGTCCTCTGGGTTATATATATAAATCTTGTTTTTTCTCGTAACTAGGCAGTCTATGACGACCCTGTTTACACTGTTGGGTAGTTTGATTTATAGTCGATGTAGTTGAGGGTAACTGTATGTTTCCTGTAAACGCTTGTGGTAAACTACCGTCACTGAAATAGTCCATCTACTTCTCCGAAGACGGCAGCAGATTGGCAGTCATAACGTAGGATATAAACTAATTGGTAATTAGTTTCTAGTAATAAAAACTTTATTAGTGACTAATTAATAATTATATTCAGGTGATATATTCATCTCTTAGTGTTCAACACTTAATAACAACCAAAAGCTGAGTATTGTAAGATCACTTTACCAGAATGCTAAGGAATACAAAAGTGTCCCTGGTGGTTCAGTGGTAAGCCTGAAGTTAACTAAGTTAACTCAGTGAAATGTCATCTATAGAATTTTTCTTAAATAAATCAAATAAAGATACATATATATATATATATATCTTATTATTTTCTGTCAATATTTTTTCAACTTTTTCTTTTTGATTCTGTGCTTGAATAAAAATTCATTGAGTAACTGCATACATCTTCTGGTCACTAATTAACATACGAAATCATATAAAAATAATAATTTTAATTCTATTTCTGACGTGATGCTAAAGTGTACCTAACTGTCGTTGTTGAAGAGTTTTGTTATTTTTTTACAAGCAGCTCACTATGATCGTATAGCTGTGTAGAGGTGCTCAACGATGATGGCTATCAATTGCCATTCAGAAGACATTTTGTTTCGACTAATTCATCATGTTGGATGATTCTTCATACGCAGTACCTTTGGTTTGATAAGAATAAGGATAGGAGTCAAAACTAGATGTAAAATTGTGCGAATATTAATGCTTACTGATAGAGTTCCTCTTCGGCTTCGGCCATATTTATAAAGTACTGTTTAGAACTGGAACTTTCAATGACCGTAAAGTTGAAGTCCACGCGCTGAGCCATCTCTTCTAAAGAACGCACGTAAATCTGCATTCTTTCAACTGTTAGCAAAGCTGCCAGGTTTGCCGTAAAAGTTGCCAATATAAGAACCACAAACAACCAGTAACCAGCCACCAGGACGCGCCCTGAGAGCGATTTGGGAACCTCTCCACCACCTTAAAAGAAGAATGCCTTCAAGATGTATATTATTTCTAAATATGCACAGTCATCTTACAAAATCTGTACATAATTTTCAAACTTGAAATATTTAAAAGAAGAAAGTAGAACGAATGGAATTTATAAAAAAAAAGGAATTCTTCTAATCTAAACCAGGATTATCTCAAAATAATCTAAAGATGTTTCAAAATAAAGCTTACCTTACTGTGTTATCAAATCTTTTAGTGAAACAACTTTAAGCAAAAGAAGTTATTTTTTGGAAGAGTCCATAAACAGCTACATGACTGAAAAAATCTATTTTAGGCTACAATGCAGCTCCTGCTCTAATTATGAGATGTATTGAAGTAACTTCCTTGTTGAAAGACAATAAATCGTTGTATGTAAAGTTTAAATAGCAAACGTACGATGGTGGGCTCAAAGAAAATTGTTGTTAGAAAGTTTAAGATGTCTGATAACTTGTAGCCATTATACCATAAGTTGTTATTTTTAAATATATTTGAACCAGTTCTTACAATAATCTAACGTGTAGTATGCAGAAGTTTAAGCTTTCGAACCATAAATGACACAGTTATAATAACATATACCTGTAATAAAACAAACGACCCGACCCAAACATGAAATTTGTTGCGCATATTTTAGCCTATAATATAAATGTAAAACCAAACATTGATCTATGCTTGTTTTTTTCATTTATCCTCTACGTGTAATCTAAAAATTAATAATACAAAAGGAATCGAAGTGTTCTTATTCGTTGCTCGTCGTACCATCCGGATAATCGTCGAATTTCAACCATAAAGTTGACACTTGAACACGTTATAAAAACTAGAAGTAGAAAGTTAGTTTTGGTAAAGAATGCTCAAGAACAACTCTAAACGTTGTGTCTACTAGTGCGACTTAATAAAAAGCCATTTATAAGGCTTATCTGACAAATTAGTGATTAACGTATGATGCAAAGTAACAAAAGTTCTGGTATTAAGCGAAAGGACTCGTCGGTACTGGATAGGGCAGATATGGTGTGGTTGATGTTTTATCATACACTCTTCTTTTACTCAGAAGCTCCTATAATTGAAAAATAAAACTCCCAAGCTGGCCAAATTCTGTGAACAGGTTTGATGTTAGAGTTTTAATGGTGATTGCTACATCTCAGTTAATTGTACTGAACTGATGGGCACTGTTCTATAAATTGGCGCCATGTGCTCTAAGAATATCCTGTAGAAGGCAAACATACACTTAGATGCCAAGAGTTGCCAAAAAATTACAGAAAATATTTACACTTGGCAACTATAAAGCTTCGTTAGTACATTCTTACTTCTTTAGACTAGACCCTTTTTATAATAAATATTTAAAGAAAAAAGGGGGAAAAACACTCCTAAAATCACACTGAGGAAATCAATGGGTTAACTTATTTTGATAAATATTTAGCTTCATCACAACTACACTTAATGGGCTGTTTTTCATCCGAATCATGCGAAATGGCAAGTATTTCGTACCTTGTGGAGTAAAACTGGTGAGAACAAACCAAAAACTTTCTTTCAAGTTAAACTCTCTGCAGGGTTGCGAATAACTTTGTTTGTTGTTTCGGTTACTATAAGGACTATAGCGATCTAGGATCCATAAGCATAGTCCTGTTGCTACGATGCCACCAAGTACCCCCCACCAAACCTGTACAAGTAAAAAATTACAAAATACTAGATAAAATAGGTTAAATCAGTTGAACGTTTTGTACAAACTGAAAATAATAAAACATGTGTGTAAAAAAAGGAAAAGTCCTCAAATCACTAGAAAATGATCTTACCTCGATAAATCCCATAATTTAAAATGTATATTTTTCTGCTGGTTTTAAAACCTCAAACTTCATACTGAAACAGCCCTAATAGATATACTTCTGGTTTTAAAACCTCAAACTTCATACTGAAACAGTCCTAATAGATATACTTCTGGTTTTAAAATCTCAAACTTCATACTGAAACAGCACTAATAGATATACCTCTGGTTTTAAAACCTCAAGCTTCATACTGAAACAGCACTAATAGATATACCTCCGGTTTTAAAACCTCAAGCTTCATAATAAAACAGCACTAATAGATATACCTCAGGTTTTAAAACCTCCATGAACTTGAACAGGGATTTTTGTTTTTCTGGTTTTCTGCCTAAAATAGCGATCCCTGTCTGGTCAAAATACGGTGTGACGAAATCAACCACTTCGGTTCGCTCTGCTGTCATCGAAAGTGCTGCTAGAATCATGTCCGTTTCCTGTAATATGAGAGTACAAGTAATGTAGATACATGTGCAGGAGCTGAAACAATGTTATTGCTTGCAACTTTCTTTTAATTAGAGGTTTTATATATATATACCATGCGATTCAATAATAGCTACAACCAGTTTAGACAGCTCGAAAACATTCTTCCAATTATTTAACTCAGCTCCCTTTATGGATTGTTTTTGAGTTAATATTGACATTTTTATTACCTCAGTACTAATAATAAGAAGGTAAACAACGATTTATAAGCATAAGGAAAAGTTATATTCATGGTGGAACATACTACATATTTTCACCATCAATAAAACTTTTCCTTATGCTTATAAATCGTTGTTTGCCTGCCTACTTCAAGTCTGTTCATGGAAACAGAAATGAGTAAATCTAACTTCGAGACCACTAAGACAGATAGATATGGTAAATAAAATCGCTTATTACAATAAAAGTATTTATATCAAATCTATGGCGTAATGTTCAATCATATTTAGATTAAAAGCTCATGTTTTGATTTATTAACTTGATTTTTAATGTGCATTTTTTATTCATAGTGACTCACAGTCAGTAGTATAGCGTTTTGATTGCTCTATTGGCTTTTGATAGTTCAAAATGATTTTCTGATTAAAAAATGGTTTGATACTATGAATTGAGAAAGAAAAAATAAAATTCAAACCATTATCAGTATATTTCCTGAAAACTTTTTTTCCGATATAACTTTTACGTCAAAACTGTAACGTGTATTCAAGGACACAAAAATTTAATAAAACTTTTTGAGCTCGTGAAAAGAAATAAATAAAACGTTTTCGGTACATTTCACATTATATCTACTCCGTCTTTGAACTTTACAAAAATGCATGTGTAATTTGCAATAGTTATGGTTATATACCAAAAGAAGTATATAGTATTTTTGACTTACTGAACTGTAAAAGAATAGGAGAGAAATCAACAATTTTAAACCTACAAGTCTTTTATACCAACTTGAAAAATGTAACAAAAAATAGACATGTATCAGAACTTAAAAAAAAAGATTTAAAAGCAGCTCGTTGGCTAATTGATATAGTTTTATTAAAGTAATATTAACAACTGGTAGTTATAACAAAGCAGTATTCTAAACAGGGACATATTGGTTGCTTTGAATGTTCTAATCAAATTAAACTGTATTGAAAGTAAACTTCTCCTTGCACTCTTTTGGGGCATTATGTATTGCAAATAATGCGATCACTTCATTTTAGACTTTTTTCAAAGCTAGAAATCTCACCGCTCGAGCTAGTTGACCAATCAGTCCATTCCAACGTCCATCCGCTTCCTTAATTCCGTAGTAACCGTCTTCTGGTATCACCAGCTCGTAGTCAAAGTCTAACAATCTTTGAAGTTCTTTCAAAATTTCTATACAGAATCCTGTATATCCTTCTTGAGTTTTAATTATAAATGGTGAGTCCTACCAACAAACATTGAAAAAATATATACAGCGATAAATATCTTCTAAATAAAATCATAAATACCAATCGCATGAAATGTAAGTATATGATATATCATCAAAACAAAAAATTTTCAAATTAAAAACATTAATATGTTACTTGACAATCACCTAATTAGAATCCAATACTAGTGAATTGTCAAACTTCATATCATTCTTAGATGCGTAGATATGTTTTTATTAAACACATTGAATTAATTACGTTAAAACTTCAAGTAAGTTGAAAATACATATATGTTAAATTCTTGAATAAGGAAAAATAAAAATACATTTCTTTTCACTCAACCATTGCTAAAAGGTAGGAAGAGAAAAGCTGGTCATTTGTCCTTTTACTTGTTCGAAAACAAAAACAAACTTTTGCTCGAATATTTAATTTATATTAATCACCACATAGAGTGTTACCTTTTAAATAAATACGTACAGGGTATAAACTCAGAAGTTAGTTGTGGCTCTTTTAAAGAAGATTCCAAAGAATGTATTTATAATAGTTAAGTTCTACTTAGCATACTGGTTAATTACAAAATCAAAACAGACTCTTGCAATACGTCTAAACATCACTCTTAGATGCGTAGTATAATCAAAGAACTTGAAACAACCTGAAACTTTTCAAAAGCTAGAATGTCCATTGAATATACAGCAACTGACTACGTTATTACGACTCCACCCCACCCCCTCAATACATACATATATTTCTAGAACAGTTAACTTATTTTCGTATAGAAAGTGGATTGACCACGCGATGTACCAAGTAAACAGCATGATGGAATTATATCACAGACAGTCTGTAAAACGATAGGTAAGAGCTAAAACCTCTTCGACTTTTAAAGGAGCATGATAATCAGTATTCATGTAGCTTCTCTAAAAACAATTACCATTACAGTTTAGCAACAGAGGCAGTGGAAAAAGATTATATTTGATGATAGGAAAAACTACAAATGTCATATGAGAGTTTGTAACAATTTAAAAAAAATATTATTTCAGATGTGAACAGAAAATAACAGCTTCAGTAGTGCTCAGAAGGCAAACCGGGCGTTTTATGAGTAGTATTTCAATTTTTTGAAATGGGAAAATAACTGTATTTTCCATGATTGTGATATACAGGGAAAGTTGATATAAGTGGTGTAATGGTGTGGGGAACGTTCTTGAAGTAGGAATTGGCTTATTTTATTCCTTTGTTGGCAATCATGATACAGTTAATAAGTTCGATGATGAAAACAAAACGTCGTAAATAAAGTTTAGTAATATTATAGGTATTGCCCAACATTTTCAAAATCAAAATGTCACCGCAAAAATCTTTAAGAATAACGGGTATGAAAATTGTCTGCAACATTTACAATGCATTATCTAATATTCTGTAATTTCTCGTAAAAAATCCCGCCATAAAGACTATAACCACATATATATATACATACACAAATTAATATTAACGCCTGAATTTGATGTTTGTTTATTTTTGAATTTCGGAATTTAAGATTAGAGAGAAGGCAGGTGGTCATCACCATCCACCGCCAACTCTTGGGCTACTCTTTTACCAATGAATAGTGGGATTGACCGTCACATTATAACGCCCCCACGGCTGAAAGGGCGAGCATGTTTAGCAGGACACTGAGATTGCGAGTCGAGCGCCTTAACCATCAGGCCATGCCGGGCTTCTGAATTTGAAAAGATTAGTTTCATGTGTACTTGCCTCAATAGTTCCAACCCTAATTTTCCTGCGGAAAGCATTCTTCATATTTCCATTGCCTGTTTTCAAAGCTCCAGTGGAGGACCAACTAGCCACCTATATACGAATTTTTATTAATTAATTTGTCCTAAATGTTTAACACAAAAAATAAAATAATATTATTGGCATTGAAAGTTACCATTTTACATTTTAATAAGTAAAATTAGATCTTCAAACACTGCTGGCTGGTGTTTTAATAGTTAATCAAGATATCTGCCCATTATTTAAACAATGAAACATATTCATACGAAATTATATTCGTTATGGAAATTATATGACAGAAATAAGTTTTCAGAGTATTAGTCTGTTTATATTATATTACGATAACCAAACTGTAAACAAAGAATGTATTTGTTCCTTATCGTTTCGTATTAAATCTGCAATTAGTTTTTGTATAACTGTCTTACCTTTTCTTGAAAGGTAGAATTCAAAACCAAAATGTCAGCTTCTAGATTCAGCTTCATTTCGAAATTTTCCATAAGTAATGGATATTTATTTGTTGCAATTACCTGCAGTGTATTTATTGATAAAACAATAATTACTTCGCAACTAACAGAGAGTTCAAAATAAGATATATTTATATGAATTTTTTATATAGATATGCATAAATCAAGAATAACTATTAAATAATTATGCTTATGCACAATAAAAGACAGTGAAAAGGTCAATATAACTTTAAAATCGTACGACTTATTATTACTTTAAAATAAACAAAATTTAAAAAAAAACAGGAGAACGAATAATTATTTTGTACACATGTGTATCTCGTAGAATTTGAATTCCTAGAAGTTTAAAATGTAACATCATATCTACAACGTTGGAATTTTGCATAGATTTTAATTCAAGGAAACTAAAAAAATAAAAACAAACTGTAATTAGCCAGTACACAATCTCAATATGTGCGACTTTTCTATATTATTTAATTCTATTATAGAAACTATTTTTGAATTATTCAATTCCGAAATTCGCTATAAATATAAAAAATTAGGTGGGTTTATTTGAATCTTTATTTAAGGATTTGGTTCACGTGAAATATTAAACAACTAAAATTAAAAGGAGTAAAACGTTAAAATAATTGCACAGTAAATATTTCACTAAAAACATGGCCCAACCCTAAAAAGACTTAGTGTGAAGTGACAACTTTCAATAATAATATACAATATTTTATTTTGTATAGAATCCTTTTAGGGCTAGGTACTGTTTTCAGCCCCCCAGTGGCACAGCGGTATGTCTGCGGACTTACAACGCTAGAATCCGGGTTTCGATACCCGTGGTGGGCAGAGCACAGATAGCCCATTGTGTAGCTTTGTGCTTAATTACAAACAAACAAAGTATGTGAGGGTTTGATTACGTCTTTATTTATGTAATTTTTAAAAGCAGT